TCGGGATAAGCACAAACAAATACTAAATTTAAAGACCACTGTGGTATTGAAGACTGAAATAGTACAAAAGGCGCCGTTGACCTGAAGTTAGAACGTATGAATGACCAGGTCACAGGTCAAAACATAAAGCAAAGAAACAACAAACAGTAGTATAATCACGCGTCAACACCTTTGAAGTGCTTTGTTGGAAGCACCCTACACTTCTGAAAGGTGGTCGAAGATTTCCAGTGCTCCGCTTATTTCAACAAACTGCGCGCAACCATGTCGCCGTTCATATAGATTTCATATACTAGATGCCACTGAAAGTATTATATACGCTGCTCGACACAGTAATGCTCCAACAATATTGGTGAATTAACTAGTTTAGTGATCCAATAATTTTTTCTGACGATAGGTTGGTTGGGGGAGGTTCATTCTGAGACAGAATCAATTACCGATCTATGCAATTATTCAGCATGCAGCAGGGATAGTAGCACCGCCAGAATTCCGAAAGATCAGCTGATTAAGAAAAAGAAACAAGAGAATAAGCCGAAAAAGAAGGAAACAGCGCAGGGCAGAAGGCAATGAGAGAGGACAGGAAACTCGAAAAATTAAAATACGATGAAGAGCAGCAGACTGAGAAATCAAATGAATACGAGAAAGCCGAAAAAGTAGAAAACGGCGAAGAGCAGGAGACTATGAAAGGAAACACAAATATTGAAAAGGAAAAATACAGCAAAGAGCAGCAGACTGATAAATCGAAAAAAGATGAAAACAGTGAAGAGCAACAGACTATGGAAGAAGACAAGAAAGTCCAAATTGAAAAATACTGTGAAGAGCACCAGAAATCGAAACATGGAAGGAAGTTTGAAAAAGATAAAGGAGAACAGCGGGTTGAGAATATAGAACAAGACAACATACTTGAATCCTCAGCTGATATTTTTAATGTAGGGGATTATGTGGTAGTTGAATATGAATTGAGACAATACCCTGGATTGATAAAGAATTATCATGATAATCAGTACGAAATCAGTGTAATGGAACAAACTATTAGAGAACGATGGAAATGGCTCAAACCAATCGATCAAATCTGGTAAAAAAAAACGGAAATTAAGAAAAACATTTCTGCTCTATAATACACGTGGGATTTTCTATGTTGACAGCATCAACTGAATTTGATATTTTCACTAAATATTATGTTTTTGAACTCATTATTAATTTGAAATTATGTTATAAAATCGAATAACGTTGCATTGAATACAATAATGATTGTGTTTGAATAAATAAAACGTTTGTTATTCATTTATTAAACTATGGTGTTCATTCACTGGGTTTTTGGTACTTTTTGATCTTCAAAGGATTTAAATACAAAAAATTATAACAAATTGCACATTTTTATGATATAAATCGATTATAAACACAGTAAAGTTATCATAAAACTTACCACAAAAATAAATCTAACGAGAAAAATAAGTTTTGGTTGTAGAAAGTGACAACTATCGTTATTCGTTCATTTACTGGACTGGTGACCCTATTACCTTCTTATCAAATTTTGTAAAATTATTTTTGAGCCTGATGCTTTGTTTCAATTTTCCCCAAATCAACTCGATGGGANTGAAGAAGAATGTAATTACATTCGAAACGTATGCAAGAAAACAATTGTTTTTGAAGAAAAACTGATCCTGTCACCCAACCAACTTCTGTTCAGAAAAAATATTGGTGAATTTTTTCGTTTCATAATAAATACTAAAGTGACAATTATTGAAGGTAATTACTGCTATATGCCTATTGTTCTTGTTTCCACGGATTAATGTGAATATATTTTCTGGTTATCTGAATAATGCATGGTAAATCAAATATTATTACCTGTCAGAAGCATAACTGCTGGAACATGACTTCTTTGTAATTTCTTTTCATATTTTATTTAGTATTAAAGGTAGTATTACAGTTCATTAAAATTGTATATAATGATACACTTATCCAAAAATAAATTTCAATCAGTCACTATCTGAATACAAATTTTCTTCATCTTCACTGCTACCTGTGCTTGTACTGGTGGCTGGATCAATTTGAATATTATGGTATGGAGCATTAACGGTCACGACTAAGGAATATTTGGGATTGACTTTTCTTGTAACCATTTACCATACTTTTCAAAATGTATTTCTGAATGATAATCCCCTGATGTTGTGCCTTATTTAAATAAAAGCCGACAATTAGGTATAAAGCCCATGTCATCTCCCACATGGACAATAATGAGTCTTGTTCCCTTCGCAATATTTTTAAATAACATTTTGGTTGATTCATCCGTCCAGATCTTGGAAGATGTATGTCCACTATTCAAGGTACGTTTAATCAAGAAACACAGTTGGTCGCTGTTGGCTACTTGATCCTGAATACTCTAATATCCACGTCCTCTTAAAATTTTTCTATATTTTCATTTCTTCTTGAAACCTATCTTCTTAAAAATTTTACGAAAGGATGTTTCGTAATCCACAATTTCCAAAACGTCATCGATTTTGTGTTGAAACTTGTTTACCGTAATACAACACCCTTCTGTCTTATAAAAGTCGTAAATGATCCGTCTAATATTGAAATACTCATACTCGGGAATATCAGTTACTGGTGCTCTTCTAGGCCGCTTCTTTTTTGGGGTGAAAAATTTTACTTCTTCGTTATTTGCAGAATTCAATTGATCCCTTCATTAACCACTCTTTCAATGGTTCTTATTGAAATACCTAATACAAAATAAAGATTTATGTTGAAATAGTTATTTTTTGAATTTAATTAATGTTACCTGTTGCGAGAGATGTTTTACTTTTCACATTTGGTAACGTATCCCCGTATCCGACTCACATTTAACACTTTGAAAATAATTGAACCCATTAAAAATTATTTCACGTGCCTGACTCTTGAAGAATGGTTTTTTGTTAGGCGATGTCATTTTTTCAGAAACAACACATATTATTCAAACAATGCCAAACGCCAACAGCATTAGAGGACAAGTAACGATACGCCTCTGTACAGAGCATGTACAGTCTTTCATTGAAAATGAGTTTGTGTATGTAAGCCATTGGTCAACACTTCATCAAATCTACAACTCCACCACTAACACAAGCATATGGTTCCATTAGCTTCAACAGCGAAATAAAAAGAAAATTCACTTGCTGAACAATTTACATTCTATGGTTGACTTTCAGTGGAAAACAACACCAACTTTTCATTCTGTACAATTCATGATTTCAGATTTTACTTTTCAACAGCGTCTTATCAGCAACAATAACAAAGCTTCTGTTACTGATAAACCTGTCACTGTTCTTGAAAGTAGGAAAGAAGTTTTGTAGGCTTCTTGGTAAACCACTAGACTTCAAACTATACTGTAAAAAGCCTAAGAACTATTGCATTACTATTACTTATATCGAAAATTATGGGGAAAGCTGTTAGTCAACACATTCTTAAATTTTTGGAATACTTTAACATCTTAAGCGATCATCAATATGGTTTCCGGAAGCTAATATCAACAGGCGAACTTCTTACAAGTGTTACCCACATTTGGAACAATACAATCAATGAACACGGAGTATCTCGGGTGGTTCCTTCCAAAGCCTTCGACCGTGTCTGGCCTAACAGTTCACTAATTGAACTACGATGTTATGGTCTGTCATTTCGTCATCGGTGGGTTGGCTGTCCTTATTCATCTTTCACTGCCTGAACCACTGTGCATGCTGTTTTTGACGAGTGCATTGGATTGGGATGTGGGGGTTGAGCAAACGGACTATCGGATGCCTACTTTCACGTAGCCCCACTGGATACGGGAATGACAGAATCACTTGTGATGCTGTTATTCCCTAACTGAATGGCATCCCATCGATGGCTTAATCCTGAGGTGTGAGTATCCGTGCCGAGAGGATGAATGACACTGAGCCTATCAGCTGCCTCTACGGAACCTTCGAGATACCGGGCGCCCTCTCGTCGTAGCATCGCCTTGTCACGGTAATGCGGGGCTCTGCCGTGATTGACCTTCTTTCCCTAGCTACTCGTGGAACTTTTATGGACAGAGTAAAGTTAAAAATTCTCAACTCTCCAACTCCTGATCCAATAACTGAACCTAAAAAAAAGGTTTAGTGGTGCAGCCAGGAAACGACTGAGTCGTCACCTCAAGAGCGAGATACCTTATGAAACCGGCTTGCACCAAATTCTTGAGCGGCGTACGCAGAATCTGTCTCAGGTGGCAGGTTAACAAACGTTTGCGCTCAAGTGATGATTCACCAAAACCAGAGGCGAAAAATCCCTGCACGGTTGAATCTAAGGAATCGTCAGGTGTAGCTGACGTGCAAAAACCCTTATATGGGAATGTTGTCGCGGGTATCAAGGTGGGAATCTTGCACCTTGATACCTGAAATACCACTCACCATTCAAACTAATAGGCTTCATTAAGAAGCTGGGTTTATTTGGTCGAGTGTGAATAGGTGTGAGCCACAATAAACCCATGTGTGTTGCGGTGGAGGGTCGAATAGACCTACTCACTTTGGACCTAACCTGTCATTTCGTCTTTGTTCGTGGCTTTTCAGCTTCCTCAAAAACTGTTTCATGACCATCGATGGCTCTCTTTCGGATACCTTTATCAGCAACGCTGGTGTTCCAGAGGAATCAATATTGTCTCTAAACATTTTTCTATTATACATCAATGAGTTGATGCAAAAGACCACAAATTCAACCACACTTCTCATTTACCAAGCAGACTTCAAAGCACTGCTATGCAACGAATTTGTAAAGCGAAATTTTTCAGCGTTTTTGAAACAGGTTGAATGTATTGACTGGAGTGAACAAAGTGAGCAGTCAAACTACCATTGGAACAAAGGTGTTCAAAGCACTGTGACGTCACACAACATGTGCTGAGAGTCAAACGAGCTTCTTGGATATATCGGATTATTCGTTACAAGGGCAAACTAGTTTGGACTATTTCTGAGATAAGACAAGCGACAAGCTATAGGAAAAGGAGAACTAGTTTAGAAGTGCCGTTGAATAAAGATGTGTTAATTTGTATTCTGAATTATCAAATAAACTGTGTCATAACCAAATCACAATTTTTGAAATATGAAATCAGATGTAGAAATATTTTACCCTATAAACAGATTATTCGAAATGTTATCCAGATGACCACGATACTTCAGCCACGGTCCGGCAGCAGAAATGTGATCTGTAGTACATTTCCCTTTCACTTTGATGAGAATAGTCATATCTTCCATATCTTTTCCGTCCCACTTATCAAAAGGTTTCAATAATTGGAGACGTTGCGATTTTGGGTCTACATCAACACTCAATTTAGAACCATCTTCAACAGGTGCAATGTATGTGTCCTGGCCAGGGTCAAACCCTTTGCTGGGAAGTTCATCTCCGAACGGAGGATTCAGCTTGAACTTCTTACCGTCCGCTCCTGTGAAAAATCATACATTCAACTTTCGTTAAAATTGTTTAGTGGAAACCTGCCTTCGATTTCGTCCGTTAGAGGATTGAAGTCCAGTCTTCCCGCAATACTCAGTGCTGTTACCAGTTCTGGCGAAGTTACGAAGCTATGAGTGGCCGGATTTGCATCATTACGTCCAGAGAAGTTACGATTATATGATGTAACGATGGTGTTTTTCTCTCCTTTCTTAACGTCTCTTCTGTCCCATTGACCAAGGCAAGGCCCGCAAGCGTTGGCTAATACCTAGCAAAACAAATGAAAAACTGAGTAAGGACAGAGTAATGAAAAAAAAACGAAGGGTAACGAAATTGTAGAAATTTCCAGCATGAACAAATTGAATGACATGAGACAATAATTCATCAAATAAATATTCGTTAGTGTGGAATTGTTTTCATAATCAACGCTGAATGGTGATTCTGGTAATGACATAGATGGGTATTTGAGCTTTTTTCCTGGTCCATTTTCATTTTCATTGAAGCAGAAACTTTTAAACCTTCGAAAGTTCAAACGAAATACCAAGTATATCATTGTTCATTATCAAAAACTTTGAGAAAACGACATCAATGTTTTTGCAACATTTTCACCAGTGAAAAGATAACCATGTCACTTTTGACTGAAGAAAATATTGGAGCAAGTGATATTATATAAATGTATGTGTTTTACCGCGTCCAGTATTGATAAGCATTAAGTGTATAAGTTGAAGCCACTAGCTGGACCTGAAAAAATTTCAAGTGAGTATTATTGTTCACTCACCGTTGCTCCAAATTCTGTCAGAGTTTGAGAAATACCGTCTCTTTCAATTGTGGCGCGAATCTGTTCCGATCCAGGTGTGACATTGAAAGGAATCTTTGATTTAACACCGTGCTCCATTGCTTGTTTGGCGATGCTAGCACATCGTCCCATATCCTGATAAGAACTGTTGGTGCATGACCCAATAAGACCTACTTTTATATCAACAGGCCAATCGTTCTTTTTGGCATTTTCACCCAATTTGCTGATCGGGTTGGCCAAATCAGGGGTAAATGGACCATTCACACGGGGTTCTAGAGTATCCAGGTTGATTTCAATGATTTGATCGTACTTCGCACCTGCAATTACGACAAAAACGAAATAATCTGTATGAATTTGTTCAAGAGCATCGAATCCAAAGGGACTCTACCTTCATCTGGACTAAGAAGTACAGTCTTGTACTTGTTGGCTTCGTTTGCAATTTCGGCTCGTCTGGTGGCTTTCAAATAGTCAGACATACGACTGTTGTATGGAAATACTGAAGTAGTTGCCCCAACTTCAGCGCCCATGTTACAAATGGTTGCCATACCCGTGCACGACACAGAGTCGCAACCTGGTCCAAAGTATTCAATTATAGAACCGGTGCCTCCTTTCACGGTCAATATGTCTGCTACTTTGAGAATGATGTCTTTTGGTGATGTCCAGCCGGATAGTTTTCCTGAAATGAAAGATAAAAATGTATTCCATGAATAATTTCTCCAAATTGATCTGTCTGCTATTCTAAGATACAGGCTGTTTTAGAATTTGCAACTTTAAGAAACCATAGTGAGCGTCATAGGACTTTAACATGCTTTGGTGAATCCACCAATAATATCGCTCGTTTTTTGAAAAAGAAAAATTTGGACGTGGTTAACAGAACAAATAATGATTCAAGCAACTCAATCAGAAACAATAAAGAGATAGATGAAGAGTATATAAATTGACTTGCAGTTCTTGCCCAAAACTTGATATTGATAGCATATAAGTAGTTTTTTAAATGTTAAGACCAATTCCAGATTTGCAAACCATTCTATAACAGAAGAGTATGAGTTCAATCTTTGGCATGTTTGGAAAACAATAGATTTAAAAATTCGGAAAACAACTGTTACAAGGTAAATATTATCGACTACATTCTTTCAAAAAAATCGCTAAAACAAGCCATGCACCAGGTCTATCAACTTTTAGAAACGATTGTTAGCGTCATGGGGCATTGATTTACTTTGGTGAATCCATCAATAATAACGCTCGTTTGTTTAAAAAGAAAGACTTGGGATTACAGGAAAAATAACATTTTACGCAAATGTATCGAAAACAATAAAGATTAAACATCGGTATCGAGAAGATCAGAAATAGATGAGTTAACATATGGTTCTTGCCTAAAACTTTGTGTTGTATTGGTCAAACGGTCATAACCTAATCTGAAATAATAAAAGAGCATAGGATCAGTTTTTTGAATGTGAAGAGCACCTCCACATTCACAAACCATCTTTCGCAAGAGAAACATTCACGAAAGTCCTGTTTCTTTAATACTACTTCGTTGTACGTCTCTATTTTGTTCAGATGTCCTCTCAATGAACAGTATCGATTTATTATGGTTTGAAACTCAAGCTTTTAGAAAGATTGAAAATAAAAGTTCATACACTGAAAAAATCATAACCTCAAACAGTGAATTCTTATAACATCGACAGATCGGTACCAGTCAGATTGGACCAAGTGTGCGCCATTTTTGTTAAGGTAAGTACAAAACATAGCATTAAAAAGTTGTATTTAATGATCACAACCATTACATATTATCAAATCTAATATCTGAACAGGGTAACAAGCAATCAAAAGATTATATTGCTCTATTGAAAATTCATATTATTCATGTGCCTACCGTTAAATTTTGGTGTTCATTGACTAGTTTCAAAATAATGACTATATCCAGTAAATGAACATCCGTTCATTTGCTGGAGATTTACGTAGTAATATGAAAATAAGCGAAAATGAATCTAATAATAATGTATGAAAGTACTTTAATAATTCCCAAAAGGTTTTTATTAAATCAACCTGAAACCAGTAAGTGAACGGGACATTTTGTAATGTTCATTTACTGGGTGAGAGTGCCAGTAAACGAACATCAATTTTTCCTTAGTCCATTAACTGGTGTTCATTCTTCAGCAGAAATTATGTTTTTGTATTGCTCAAGAAATCATAAGAACTCTTCATTTCAGATGGATAAAAAAATACCCACGATTTCGATATTCGGATAAAATATTGAACAACTCTATCACAGACATTGAAAGCTGGGATGTTTCTTTGAATAAGGCTTCTGAGAAATATGGAATAACCAAATCAACTCTTCACAACAAACTAACGGATACGGTTCCAAATATAAGAATAATGGGCCCATCTCCTATTCTATCTTCAACCAAAGAAAAACGATTGGATTTTATTAAAAGCAAAATTGGGTTTCCCAATGCATCCAAACGAAGTCAAAAATGCAGTAAAAAATATTACAGGATATTGGTCGGGCCAACCCTTTCACAGATAGCAGACCGGATGACTAAAATTATTTTTGGGAAGACATCCTCAAATTGCATCTGTAACAGAACAATCTATTTGAGCATGGTTTTCTGATCTTCAAGCTTTCCTGCAAAATGAAAGCATCGTTGATATGATCAAAGATCCTTCGAGGGTTTTCAATACAGATGAAACAATTATCAGAACGTGCATGAAATCAGGTCTAGTTTTAGCACCTGAAGGTTATAAAAACCTATACGAAGTTTCTTCCGGCAGTGAGAAAGAATCAATTACCGTTCTATGCAATTATTCAGAAGCAGGGATAGTAGCATCACCAATGGTTTTATGTTTCCTTATAAAAGAATTCCGAAAGATCAACTAATTGAAAAAACGAAACAAGAGAATATAGCCGAAAAAGTAGGAAACAGCGAAGGGCAGAAGGCAATGAGAGAGGACAGGAAACTCGAAAAAGAAAATTACGATGAAGAGCAGCAGACTAAGAAATCGACTGAAGACCGAAGAAAACCGAAAAAGTAGAAAACAGTGAAGCGCAGGGGACTATGAAAGGAAACACAAACAATGAAAAGGAAAAATACGGCAACGAGCAGCAGACTGATAAATCGAAACAAGAAAATAAATCGAAAACAGCGAAGAGCAACATACTATGGAAGAAGAAAAGGAAGTCCAAAAAGAAAAATACGGTGAAGTGCACCAGAAATCGAAACAGAAACAGGCAGGAATTTTGAAAAGACAAAGGAGAACAGCGGGTTGAGAATATAGAACAAGATAACATATCTGAATCCTCAGCTGATATTTTTAATGTAGGGAACCATGTGGTACTTGAATATGAATTGAGACAATACCCTGGCTTGATAAATAATTGTCATGATGATGAGTACGAAATCAGTGTAATGGAACAAACTACTAAAGAACGATGGAAATGGCCCAAACCAATCGACCCAATTTGGTACAAAACAAACGAAATTAAGAAGAAAATTTCTGCTCCAGTTCCTTATAACACACGTGGGATTTTCTATGTTGGCATCAATTGAATTTGATATTATCACTAAATATTATGTTTTTGAACTTATTATTGAATTGAAATTATGTTATGAAATCAAATAACGTTGCATTGAACAAAATAATGATTGTGTTTGAATAAATAAAGGATTTGTTCATTAACTGGGCGTTTGTTGTTCATTTATTAGGCTATGGTGTTCATTCATTGGGTGTTTGCACATTTTTATGATATAAATTGATTATAAACACAGTCAAGTTATCATAAAACTATTTACACAAAAATGAATCTAATGAGAAAAATAAGTTATGATTGTAGAAAGTGACACCAATCGTTGTTCGTTCATTTACCTACTGGACTGGTGAACCGTGAACCTATGTCCATTTAACACGAATCTAAACTCAAAGCCCAGACTATTACTTTTATACCACTTATATGCCAACTGAAAATCCTGACAATATGGCAGTTTTCAGTGAATGATGTAGAACAACAGAACACGATTTCTAATTTGGCGGCCGATGTCTATACTTCATTTTTGCTGGCTCTATCGAGAATTATTTGTGTCATCGTTATGAAATCATATCGATTTTTTGAAATTAAGTTATTGTTATGGGAGTTTATGATTCAGTTTTATTTTATTATATTCTTCCACACCCGGCATACAATGTATCTTGCATGGCATGAATTATATCCCTATAGAAATATATTTTTTTTGATTGATGCAACTAATTTACCTTTATTTTAAGTATTTCAATATTAAATTCTACAAAAAGGATTTGAAGCTTTATATCTTCTATTAATTATCTGCGAGCGCTTTCGACAGTTGGTAGTACTGTCATCTTCTGGCACTCCTCAAACTGAACTGGTTATCCTGTTGTCTGTTTCTTTATACGGTCAGAGCGTCTTAACTCAGGTATTTCAGGTACTTTAGGTA